TCAGGTAACCATAGAAACAGTCTCAGCTCATGCTGCTGATGCTGTAAAACCTCCGCCCACTGGCAAACATCACAATAAACACTCCAGTTTGTTACAACATAATTTGCATAAAATGCTTGCATGGATTTATTAACCTCTTCATGTCGGGCATTGGTCTGCAGCACGAACATAAGCAGCCAGCACTTGTTGTTCTGGGAACAGACAATAATGAACAGATGGTGGCTTCAGTAGTCAGATTAAGCACACAAAGCCGTGACGGGCCTGTGACAGTGAGGAAAAGATGTTAAACGAGTTTCAGTGCTTTGAATTCACCTGGAGAGCTTTTTGAAAACCCACGGGACAAACAAATCCCTTCCAGTCTGAAGTGGAACTTTGCAAAGTAAGTTAATGGCTTCTCAGCTGTATCTCTATTTTTGTCATGCCAATCACCTGGATACTAGAAAAAGATTAATTCAGAGGTTTAATTTGCTAGAGAAGATGTTTCACGTCATAATCGATGGCTGTGGGCTGGTAACAGCTTAAAAGGTAAGTCATAAATTGTGAATAATACTAAAAATAGTCAGTATCATTTTGCGTCTTTAGAGAGCACACAGTAGATTTATCAATACTGCGCTCATGTCGTATATTATATTTATAGAGCTGATGGGCTGTCAGTGGGAAAGATACAGTTACTGAATTAACTGAAAAGCTTTAATTTTAATACGTGGGTCAATATTTTTGTGCAGGAAGTGGCTTTACTGCCATAATTTCTTTAAAACAAAGAATTGCATGGATTGGAGTCCTGAATCATATGCTTACCCTCAACATTACTCCGGACAGAGCGTGAAAGCACACAATAAATTCAGAACTTTGAGTGTTTCAAGAAATGATTAACCATATATAAAAGCATTTGGATAATTGGATTCATTCAAAAATCGATACGGTGATCATATGAATAGCCATTAACAGCTGCTTCATCATGTTCTCCTCAGAGCCTTTTTAACCTGCAATATTTCTCTCATTCTTAAAGTCCAGGTAATGTTTTTGCTGATTCAGTCTCTTAAGAATGAGGGCTAAAGCAATATTCAGCTGTATGCTAATGTGGGGTGTGATTTTATGCTGGCTGAAAAT